CATGAGACCAGCAGATGGCATAGCAGTTATGTGCTGCAATCCTTTCTCTTCCATTCTCCTTTGGGATCTTGGGCATGCATGCACACACACCCAGTGTGATTTTTACTAACTACTATGTCACCAGCAGCCCCTAAAGATGTTTTTAAAACATGTATTGTTGGGCTGACCTGTATTGTGGTGATTAAGGTGGCTGGATCCCATATGGCTGACTGCACCGTTTGAGTCCTGGACCTGGCACCTTAAGAAACACGCTGAGCAGGGCCCAGCAGATGGTATAGTGGTTATGTCACTGGATTTTCGCATGGCTGGCCATGGTTCAAGTCCTGGACCTGGTGTCTTGAAAATCACACCAGGCATGTATGCATGCATGCCCAAAATCCTGGGAGGAGAATGGAGGAGAAGGGATATGGTATGGCCCTCCCCCATAGGGGATGATTTCTCACTTTCCCTCTCACTCTCTCTGTCTCTCTCTCTCTCTCCCCCTGGTAAGTGCAAGAGTCCTAAGACAAAAACCTCTTTTTTTAAAAAAAATAAATAAGGACCAGCAGTTAGCGTAATGGCCATGTCGCGGGACTCCCATGTAGTTGACTGCGGTTCAAGTCCCGGACTCGGTGGCTTGCTTTCTCACTTTCCCTCTCTCTCACTCTATACCTCTCTGGTCAAATGAAAATAAATAAGATTCAATCAAATAATTTTTTTTAAAAAAATGAAATAAATACAAAACAAAAAAGAAAAACACATATATTTCATTGCTCTCTCTGAATCTTCTGTTATACATCACCCCAGCCGTTAAAATCTTTTTGACCGCACCTTGTTTTTTCTGTCCAAGATGCGGTCTATGCTCACCTTGCAACAAAATTAAAACAGTGTTCTATTGGCCATTAGAGCTGGGGGTCTTTCAAGTAAATTTAATGAACTCATTTAGCTATTCACTTACATGTCAGGTGTATAATAACCTAGGTTTATAGATAAGGTTCTATTTTCAGAGCCGTCTGTAGTATTGCCAAGCATTGAGTGGGTTTTGCAGCCATTATATGCAGAGTTCCAGATGGTTCTAAGTCAGTCAGATATTGACTGAGTTTACAATATCTATAAAATTGTTCCTCTCTAGAAATGGGGACATCTGGAGTACAAATATCTCTAGCCAGTGGCCTGCCTGGAACGAACTTCCCATCTGCAAGTCCTACTCTGGCTTTAAGGCTCAGGAAAATACCAACATCTTTAACCCACCTACTGTGCTGGGCACTTTGGGAAGACAAAGATAACTCAGCCTGGCCTTTGTCACCAAGAAGCGTGCTCTGGAGTGAGCGGGCAGCATAGTGTTTAAGGTGCTAGATCCCATAGGACTGACTCTGTGGTTTGAGTCTTGGATTTGGCACTTGAAAAACACGCTGGGCATGAGACCAGCAGATGGCATAGCAGTTATGTCATTGGACTCCTACATGACTGACTGCGGTTTGAGTCCCAGACCCAGTAGCTTGAAGCTCACGCCAGGCATATCAAGATCCCTGGAAGAGAATGGATTGTGGCATGGCCATCCCTTCTCTGGGTAGGAGGGTGGGTTATTTCTCACTTTTCCTCTTACTGTCTCTGTCTCTCTCAGGTGAGTACACATGCCCTAAGGCAAAAGACCTCTAAAAACAAACAAAAACAAAAAAGCACGCTGGGTGCATGTATATACATGCCCCAAATGCTGAGAGGAGAATGGAGGAGAAGGGGTTGCAGTGTGGCCATCCTCCCTGGGTGGGGGGTGATTTCCCTGTCTCTGTGTCTCTGTCTTTCTCCATGCCCTATGACAACAATCTAAAAAACAAAAATGGTGGAGGGTGAAGCATGTAAGGCGGAGGGTGTAGCAGGAAGAGGGGCTGGGTCTGGGCACAGACCTGCTTGGTTAATGGGGGGCAGAGAAGCATGGCAATGAGCTTCAGTATTTGAGGGAAGGGCTGAGACAAAGACTGGGAAGCATGCAAGTGGCAGCTCAGGAGCACACTGACAAGCAGAGGTAAGGATTTCAGATTTTTGTCATGCAAAAATGGCATGGGGTGGGGGCAGCAGGCGGCATGGTGGTTAAGAGTGCTGGACTCCCACATGACTGACTATGGTTCGAGTCCCAGACCTGCCAGTTTGCTTTCTCACTTTGTCTCTCTCTCTGGTCAAATGAAATAATAATAATAAAAGTTAAATAAAATAATTTGAAAAAACCCTTGCTTTGGAAGATTGCTTGATTAAGAGCTAAAACAATTTCTAACGGTGCCCTGACTCCATGCTGGCACTATGCAAAGCACACCACTGTGTGCAGAACCTCACTAAATGTTGACTCGAAGCCCATGAGACATGTATTATTTTTTTGTTTGTTTGTTTTAGTTTTTTGCTATAGAGAGTGTGTGCTTGACAGAGAGAGATAGAGACAGAGAGAGAGAAAGTGAGAAATCATGCCCCAGGGGGGTGGCCAGACTGTAATCCATTCACCTCCAGTCTTCCTCTCAAGATTTTGGGTTCACATTCACATATTCTTGGCACGGTTTTTAAGCCACTGGGTCCAGTACTTGAACCATGCAGTCTACCATGTGGGATCCAGAGCCTTAACCTCCATTCCACCTGCTGGTCCCAGACATATATTTTATTTACTCTTTAAAAGAATTATTTATCTTACTACTATTTTTTTAAAGAATTATTTAACTTGATTTACTCATTCATTTATTTTAATTTGGCCAGAGAGAGAGAGAGACAGAGGAAGAGAGAGAGGGAAAATGAGAAAGGAAGCCACCAAGTCCGGGACTCGAACTGTGGTCAGCCATGTGGGAGTGTCTAGTACCTTAACCACCATGCCACCTGCTGGTTTCACTATGTTTTGTTTTTAACAATTATTTATTTAATTTTATTTATTCATGTATTTATTTAACTTTTTAAAAAAAATTTGAAAAGAGAGAAGAGAGAGAGAGAAAGAGAGAAAATGAGAAAGCAAGCCACCAGGTCTGGTACTCAAACCATGGACAGCCATGTGGGAGTGTTCGGTGTTTTAACCATCATATACCACCTGCTGGTGTTATGTTTTTAATTTGACCTGAGAGTGAGAGGGGGAAAGTGAGAAAGCAAGACGCCAGGTCTGGGAGTTGAACCACAGTTGGCCATGTGAGAGTCCAACATCTTAACCACCATACCACCTGCTGGCCCTTTCTCATCATACTGGTGAGAAAACCCAGACACAGAGAGATTGGTTCAGTGACGTCTCCTAGGTCACAAGCAGTAAGTGAGAAGTGAACTCCAGTCTAACTGCAGGGCTGGCAATGTAAGCATTGGGGTGCTCCACTCCTAGATGGATCAGTGCTTCAGAACGGTCACCCCGGTCGCAAAGTCAGGGTTGCATTGGGCAGATGCGGCAGAGAGGGCAGGCTGCTGGGTCTCAGTGCAGTGGTGAGGCTGGAGAGGAGGGGGGCCTTGGTCCAGGCAGCCGTAGGGCTGTTATGGAGGGGCTGGATGTGTGTGAGCACTGAGTATCACGCACCAGCAGGACCCTCCCTGACGGAGCGCCCGGCCATCACGGATTTGTTTTCTCCTTCAAGTTCTCAGAGCGTTCATGTCTTTTTTCTAGGCCTTCCTTGGGCCATGTCCCCATACAACTGTGTATCTCTTATCACGTCTAATCTAGCTTAAAATTCCTAAGAAGGAGCAGGAGGAATTATGCTTTATTTGCCTATATATATATATATACATATACACACACATATATAATGTATTATATATATCCATTGCTGAGTACAGTGCTTTGGTAAATGAATGAATTCCAAAATGATCTTTTTCAGATCATTTCTCCTTATGTATGCATTTTAGAAGTTAGTGGCAAGTTAAATACTTTTCCTTTTTTTTTTTTTTTAAATAGGAAAATAATTCCCTAACACAATCTACTTTATAAAATATGAGGGAAAGAAAGACGGGGCAAGTTGTTTAAAAGCAGCAAACCCTTTAAGAGTCAATGTCACATTTATTGCTATAAAATATTTTTCTCTCTCTGCTAGACATCTGGTTCCCATTACATACAGTATTGGGTACTTGAGTTCCCTAGCCATCTTGCATACCAAGCAGTGTGTAGGCAAAATCAACCCCCCCATCAGCCAGTACGCATTCGCACTATGTAATTCTTCCTTTATATTTACAGATAACTCTTCTATCACCAACTTCATTCTTAACCCATACACTTTCAAAGTTATTCTGTTCCTACTCACCTTCAAAACCGAATTGCCTACATCTGAGAAAGGCAGACCTTCAAAACCCTGCTTTCGTATGGTCCAACGATCAATAATCTGGCAGTGAAGTCAATGAAACATCTAAATCTTAAGTCTATATTTCCTAGTAACATTGACCCAGAAATGAGAAACACAATATAGAAGGTTTGCTAATGAGTCATGAATTTCATTATAATTGCTTCCACATTCAGGATCGCTGCCTTAAACCACCTAATCTTGACATATCCTGCAACAATCCCATGTGCTGTAAATGATTTTGTTTTATTTCTTAGGTTACTGGGAAGGGCTTATTTTCTAGTTCATTTCATCTTCTTAAAGAAAACCACACATGCGTGTGTCCACACACACACACAGATGTGCACACACACACACACACACACACACACGCATCACTGGGGCTTTTGCCTCAATCTGTATTTTTTTGGAAATGAAATAATTATGAAACAAAAAGGAGCCCTCATCATTTGGTTTGGAAATAAAAATAAACACATTTAGAAAGAAAGTTGCAATGTGGTCTATTTTAGAGTTCTCATTTAGGTCTCTGAGAACTAAAGCCAGAATTAAGCAAGGCTCGTGAAGTGACAATCTGTCCCCTTCTTGGACTTGGGGATCTGTGACAGAATGGACAGACACAAGTAGCATTCAGTATAGTAATAATGGAAAATTAAATACGACTTTTAAAAACTGCTCCCATTATAAAGTGATCTATTAGCGTTATACGACTTCAGCACTTAAAGTGACTGATTCTAATTGCAGGCGTTGGCCCAAAGCAAGCATTAAAGAGCTACAGGATCTTGAAGGTATTTTATCTCTTTGGGGACATTTTAAACTGGACTTTCTTTGGAATGAAGCTTTATTCCAGCCACACAAAAGACAGCATGGAAAGAAATCTCCCCGTTCTGCTAGATCCAGAGGTAATTATAGTTTCTTCTTCTTTGATTTATGAATCAATAAGTCAGATGCTAAAAGCGTTTTTGCATTTATTTCTCCTTTTCTTTACTAAGAAGAACTCTGTATGGTTCATGTATTTTCTCCTGAAGAAGTGAAGGTGGCTGCCCTTCTCTGAGGAGCGTTTCCAGCAAGCAGAGAGGCTCTGGTTATCACACTGTCTCCATCAGACTCTATCCTGGACAAGCCAGTGCGTCTCTGAGATGAAGCCACCATGCCCTACCTTGGGCTGAACTTAATTTACCTATTATCGCAAAACTACAGGAAGTGGGGCTAGCAGACATCACAGTGGTTAAGGTGCTGGACTCCCACATGGCTGACCTTGGTTCAAGTTCCGGCCCTGGTGGCTTGAAACACACCAGGTGTTTGTGCATGTGTGCCCAAAATCCTGAGAGGAGAATGGAGGAGAATGGAGAAGGGATTGTGGCGTGTTGTCTTTGTGGCGGGCGATTTCTCGCTTTTTGTCTTTTTATTTCTCTGGCAAGCACCTGTGTCCTATAGCAAAAATTTACGAAAACAACAAAAACAAAAACAAAAGCAAAAACCTACAGGAATTTGTGAGCAGGTACAATTCTTAGATATACCTACTAAACAGTTAGGATTTCCAAAAGAAAGAGAATATGAAGGAATTTTTTTTTTTGTCTTTGATTTTTGGCTTTAATGCTTGTGATATCCACACACCTTTTCATAATTTTTATTTCATTGATATGGAAGCTTATTAACTCAATCACATGAGAAATTGCAACGCTTTAGGCTTAAGGAATCCTATTGAACTTACATGTTTAAGCAGTTTAAGAGCTATTGAAATTTTACCTTCATCTGTATGCACATGCATTTTCCTTCCTTCCTTCCTTCCTTCCTTCCTTCCTTCCTTCCTTCCTTCCTTCCTTCCTTCCT